TATCACACATAACTTATCTTGTATCTTTGAGTTCTATACGGTTGTGTCCATTTTGGTCCTGGACAAGATCCTGAATTCATGAGAGCTTTAGAGAAGATAAGCTATTTGAAAAGTTCTCATAGAACCGACTCAATTCTACTCTCACATAGGTGATATTGATTAAATTCTTCCACTACTCCTCTTGTAATCAAGATATCAATATGACCTTAACATCAACAGATCACACACATAACATCATAGAAATGGGATGAAACCATAAGTTTCTTAGTGTGTCAACTATCAATTATCCAGCTAGTTTGCCTATTGAACCTAGATCTTGGGATCTCCAGTCAACTAGGTTAGGTTACCACCAGATATTTCATTTCATAGGCTTTAGCCCCATTTCTCTCGATGTATATGCAACTTGCTCTCTTGACAATCCTTTCGTCAAATGATCTGTAATATTTTCTTTTGATTTCACATAATCAATGGAAATTATTCCATTAGAGAGCAATTGCTTGATAGAATTATACCTGCGTCTTATGTGTCGTGTCTTCCCATTGTAGACATTATTCTTAGCTCTCATTAAGGCTGCTAAGTTGTCACAATAAATACATATGAACTTACAGGCTTTGGCCACAACGGAACATCTTCAAGAAAGTTTCTAAGCCATTATGCTTCTTCACCAGCTTTATCAAGAGCTATAAACTCTGATTCCATAGTAGATCGTGCTATACACGTTTGTTTTGAAGATTTCCATGACACAGTTGTTCCACCTAAGGTAAATATATATCCACTGGTTGATTTAGTCTCCATGCTATCAGAGATCCAGTTAGCATCACTAAATCCTTCCAGTATAGATGGATATTTCATATAATGCAATCCATAATCTAAAGTGTACTTCAAGTATTTTAAAACTCTAACTAATGCATTCCAATGATCATGCCCAGGATTGCTAGTGTATCTTGCCAATCTTCTTATTGAATAGGCAATATCAGGTCTTGTAAAATTCATTATGTACATTAAACTACCCACAACCCTAGAGTATTCTAGAGAAGATACACCTTGATTATTCTTCTTCTTCAACTTACAATTTGGATCAAATGGAGTAATTATCGACTTACCCTCAAAATAACCAAATTTTCTCAACACTTTCTCTATGTAATGAGATTGAGAAAGTATATATCCACTTGGATTTCTCGTTATTTTAATTCAAAGGATAACATTAGCAAGACCAAAGTCTTTCATATCAAAGTTGGAATTCAACATCCTTTTAATGGAATCAATGACACTTCTAGTTGTGCCCATTAACATCATATCATCCACATATAAACAAACAATGACGCAATCTTGATCTATGGTTTTAACATAGACACATTTGTCACACTCATTTGAAAATCTATAGTGCCATCAATTCCCCTAAGTGGTGACAATCCACTTGGTAGTTCTTTAGGAAATATGTCCTTGAACTCCTGCAACAAACTCAGAAAAATACTAGGCAAAGAAGTTTCTAAGTCACAAGTTAGAAAACAAGGTCCTTTGCACAAAAGTACAAAGATCGGTTTTGTTGAAAACAAAGCTTTCCTAACCTCACTGTTTCTAGCTATCAAACTTTCATTTCTTACTTTTCTCTCTTTGAGCACCTTCTCACTCTCTCCACTTCTTTCTTTTTTTCCACAATTATTTTTCTCACTATTTTTTTCTTTGAAATTCTTATCTCTCTTGCTCTTTTCACTCAAAATATTTTTACTCTCTTGCTCTATTTACTCGGCCTCCACTCTCATTTTCTCTAACTTACATTGCTCTTCAAATACATCCTTGGTTGACAAAGGAAGAAGAATTATCTTTCGCCCATCCTTGGTGAATTTGTAGTGATTAAGATAACCATCATGCACAGTTTTTCTATCGAATTGCCATGGTTTTTCCAAAAGAATTTCTCCAGCATGCATGGGTGCAACATCACATAGAACATCATCTTTATATCTTCCAATAGAAAATGGCACAATGCATTGTCTATTAACTCTAACTTCCCCACAATTGTTCAACAATTGAAGTTTGTATGGTCTAGGATGTGCTGTTGTAGGCAATCCCAATCGTTTGATAAGTAATGTATTCACAACATTAGTACAACTTCCCCCATCAATCATCACACTACAGGCCTTACCATTCACATGACATCGGGTATGAAACAATGTTTCCCTTTGCTCTTCGACGAGGTCCTCTTTAATTAGGGTATTTAAAGCTCTTCTAGATACAAGCACATCCCCTACTACTGGTTCTTCATAGCTACCATCACTAGACTCCTCCGAATAAACTATGTCTCCCTTCCTCTCCTCATTTTCGCTTTCTTCACCCTTAGTTACTACCTCTCCATTTTTTATGATCATTGTTCTTTTGTTTGGACAATCTCTACTTACATGCCCTACCCCGTGACATTTCCAGCATTTAATATCCCTAGTTCTCTCCTTATGTTCATCTACCTTCTCTTTCCCCTTCATTGAACTCTCCCCTTTCTCAATTTTACTCTTAGGTTTCTCATTCTCCTCTCCATTTCCAGGATAAACATCACTATTCTTACTATCCTTTTTCCATGTAGCACTAGAGTTGGAAAATTGTTTAGAAGAATACCGTTGGGACTTCCGTTGGATTTGTCTCTCGATCTTGATTGCTAAATGCAACATCTCCTCAATGTCAAAGTAAGGTTGTAGATCAACCTTGTCAGCAATCTCCTTGTTTAGGTCATTAAGAAATCGCGCCATGAGTTGCTTCATGTCCTCATCTAGATCAATTCGATCCATCAAAGTGTCTATCTCCTTGTAATAGTCCTCCACTGACTTGTTTCCTTGTCTCAACGCTTGCAATTTTTGTGCCATGTCCCTTTCAAAATGTTTTGGAACAAACCGCTCCTTCAAAGACTCATTGAACTCGTACCAGGAAACAATTGGTGCTTCAAGATTTCTTCTTCTACGAGACATTAGCTTATCCCACCATGTTTGTGCATATTGCTTAAATCGAGCGACAAATAGTTGTATCTTCTTTTCTTCACTGAAATTATGGCACACAAATACCGACTCCACCTCATTCTCCCATTGGAGATATTCTTCTGGATCAGTCTTGCCAAAGAACTTTTGAATCTTCAATTTGATGCTCCCTAGATTACGATCAACTTGAGCCTCTTCTCTCGGAGCTCTCCTCTGATAATTGTGTTGTATTCCACGACCTCTCCCTCTATCCAAGCGATGTCCAGGACGTCTATCTCCCCTTCTATGCACGGCTAACAAGGTAACTTGGTCATCCTCTAGTTGATCAGACCAACCTTCCTCAGATTCATTCTCTCGATATAAAAGATAGTCATCCATAACACGTGATGGTGGTGGTGGTATCCTCTCCTGCGCTTGGTTTTAAATCTACAACCTATGCATTCGTTTTGATATGTCTTCCATGGTACGAATCATTTGCTTCATAGCTCTTTGTTAGGCTTTTCTCATCCTACCATCCGATATGTTACCTTCATTTGCCATGCTGCAAAAACGAACACAAAGTAAAAATTGACCTTACAAGCACTCCCTCACGTGTTTACTCTCTTAGAATATGAAAGGTCACTCGTGTTTGCACTCAAGAAAAAAAAAGAATGTATAAATACCCTAAGATTTCTAATTTCTCAAACTTCAGCAAGTCTTGTAGTATTCTTATGAGAATCAAGCAAGAACAATTCAAAATAGCCCAGAATGTGAAAAGTTACAAAAATCCAGAATTTTGAAAACAAGCATTGAAAGAGGCAATGGAATGAATTTTAAGCAAAATGGTTCAAGAATGATATGATGGAAATGAATAGGAACGATTTGATGAAAAGATACAGATATAACAGATAAAGCGTTGGAACTATCTTCACGTGTAATGCAAAAGAAACAATGGTTCACTACTTGCTATATCGACACTTTTTTTTCCTTTTTTTTCTATTTTTTTAGTACATAAAACAAGAGACAATCAGCATCAAATATGAAATGCCAATAAAAGATGATAAGTCTCTTCGTTTTCTTTTCTTTTCTTTTCCTCTTTTTTTTAGCGAACTTTTTTTTCTAGCAAGCACAATAAAAAAATGAAGCAAATATGAGAAGAAGCAAAATGAAAGTAGATGTAACGATTGAATGAAGAAAGAAAGAAAAATGAAGAACAAAGGCAAGCGAAATAGATATAATCTATTTTAGAGTCAAAACTCTAATATCAAATGATAAAGGAACTAAGTCAATTATGCATGAGAATTCCCTTATACAAGGTGAACCCCCACAACAATAATAAGAATAACCTTAATAACAAGATGATGAATCAACCCAAGAAAGCTAAAGAGATTTGTGCTTGGAAAAGATGATCAAAGATCAAGAAGAAAAGAGAACTTGTTCCTATCTTCAAGATTTCGAACTCTCCACAACCTAATTGATCAAACTAGATTGAAAGTTCTAAACATGCATTCTAAACACAAGAATACAAAGAAAGCTTAAAGTTTGAGAGAGACTAAACTCAATATGAAATTTCATTCATCAAATGTTGTGTTTGAAAAGCAAATGTACATCCCTATTTAAAGTAATTTAAAAGACACAACTCTTGAAAAATACATAATAAATTAAATATGTGGATGAATCTGGATTTTTAGATTCATGAAGTTTATTGGATGCCAAGATGTCTTTTCAAGCTTGAAGGGATGCAACTCTTCACAAAGTGTGAATACCTTAGCTTGGAAGTGACCATTCAACCCTTATTGTAGTCTTTTAGCTCTAGCTCTTGTGATTGGACCTTGTGGCATAATGATTGGCTCATGATTAGGTTGACTTTGAGCATAAGCTTCATTTGAGCTGATTTGAGCTTCCTCCTCTTGTAGGCTTTCCCTGTGCATTCCATGATCACTCATTTATATATCATTTTTCTCAATCACAGCAGCATCTTGGAATGGTTCGTTAATAACCAATCATTCACTTTGCAAATAACTAATGATAATATGCAATTCTTCCAACTGGTTGACTACCAACTTGGTATCAACCATTTTATAATCTAAGAATTTTCCAACAAGAAATTTCTTAGCACCAGCATCTTCCAGCTTATATTTCTTGTCTAATGCCTCTCTCACAATTGCCTTGAAGTATCGAAGGCATTGTAGTAGACATTATACAAGATGTCATCCAAGCAACTCAGAATTCTTGCGACATATAAGAAGTCTGAATGCAACCATGCTTGCTTTGCAGCTTTAGTTTCATGAGTGATTGTTTCTACTGGAGTAGTTGAACATACCTCATTTAGGTTGTGAGCAGGTTTAACGTGGTGAGACAGAAGATCATCTTCTGTTGCCATCTTTTGAAGTTTTCTCCCTTTAACTTCTCAAGTTTTTCAGCATGAGATTTGATAATGGTTGATCCTATAATCGTAGGAGCGTTGGTGGAATTGTTTGCAACCATCAAGAATGGTCTTCAGATTGTTGGGTAAATATAAGTTGCATATATAAACTGTGTAATACTAGCAAATAGATTACAACGTAATTGGCTACAAACAATATACACTTTGACAATTTGATAAACACCAAACTTGATAAATATAGTCGAGGCATGCTACAATAGTGCTGACCTAAAAACAATTATTCGTTCTGCACAAGTTTCTAGCAGTCTACAGCGATCGTCTTAGTAGGATATAACGACTAACTCCAATAGAACTGCAACCTCGAACTATTCGGATCTGACATAACTTTTAGACACTTGCTCTCAATATAAATAAGAAGAACAACACAAAAGCAGAGAGAATTCTTGTGAGAGGAGGAGAATACTCAATTGTGGCATGCTTGGATATCTCAAAATGAAGGAACACAACAACTATATATAGTTGTCAAAATATGTAACATCTCACAAGTATTTTTAACACATATGTAACTTTTTTACATATGTTACATATATAACTTAACACATACAAAGTTACAAATGTGCAACTTTATAACCTTAACAAAATAAAGAAACAATTTTTTCATTTAAATAAATAAGTTCAAGTTTAATAACTAAAGAAATAAAACCAATAAAGAAATAAACATATTGCGTATATGTGAATACATTTCTTTAACTTTCACTTTCTTTCGCACCTTAAAATCCAACAAATATTACATAAAGCAAATAAAAAGTGAAAATTCGATCTCTACGAGTTATGAATAGAGTTATAAATGTCTAATCATCACTCACTAAACTTAGCAAGCAAAATAATATTTTTAAGGGTAAAATACACTTTTAGGGATCGAGGGAAAAGCGAAACCCAAATGGGAAACCAAAATGCGTTATACCATGATTCTTCTGCTTTTGGGCTTGATTTCACAGATGGTGGAGTCGTGATTTTCGATCGCCAATTTGAAAATTCGTGAAAGGAAACATAAGTAAATTCACAAATTCGAGGAGAGAGAGAGTAATCTTTAAGAAGAATTTCTTTAGATTTTCTTCCGAGGAAAAGAGAGAGTGAGAGAGTGGGAAAGAAGGGGTCACGATCTGGATAAAGAGAGGGAAGAAAGGGGAAAAAAACGGTACCTTTCCTCATATATAATCGTACATTCTATCTGTCTCTTCTCTCCCTCTTCCTCACTCATCCACATCCATTGAAATCCCTCATTCTCAACAGCTACTTCAAAATTTTAAAATATGGTTCTCATTTGACTTTATTGATTTCATCACTCCCGATGTTGTTTTCACTTATTTTCAATAATGCATAACGAGGTCATGTAGTAATTTCTTTTTTGCATTGAGAGAGAGTTCTAGGATAAAGTATTAAAGACAACAGTACCCTCATATCTCCGAATATCTCATTGTTCGTTTTGGGTATAACACTTACGACTTTACTTTTAGTTTCACCAAAAAGACCTCATACCAATAGAGATAATTGTTCTCATCTTGTATACTATGAATCAATCTCTTCCTTAACCAATGTCGAACTTTATTTGCACACCTTACAATGCAACATAAAGAAAGGAGCTAATTCGATATTTCATTTTCACGTCATTAAGAAAATAGTATTTTTATAAACCAATTTGAATCTTTTTATAAAATAAAAATTCACCATTTATAGAAGAGTTAGTTTATGAACCATAAAAATGATACCCAAAAAAAAATTGTATTCATATATTGTCGATTTAGGCATAGTTCAACTATTCAAGACATTACTTACTCCCCTTAAGATCGGAGGTTTAAATTTTCACCGATTCATTTATTGAACTAAAAAGAGAAGAGTTAACTCCTATTTTGATCTCTAAATTTTAAAGATTTCGAAATATATGTTTATTTGTTGGTCTGTGTGATTGAAATTGGATCAGATCTGATTAATTAGGATTTTGAATGGCTAAACTTTTAATTTAAAACAAGTTTAGAAAATAAGATGGATTAAATCCCCTTACCTTTTGGATATGGTGGACTCCATGGATTCTTCACAGCTATTCTATCTACAACGAGAACACAATATAGAAGGACACATAAAAAGAATTTATCTCATGTATGGATGGATAAATTTCCCTAGAGTTTGACTAAGAGTGTTCACAGGACGGGGTGGAGATGTGGAAGCCTCATTTTAATTATCGTCCGAGCGATATTCCACACTATAGTTTACGAGGAAATAGGGTTTGATTCCCTGCTAAGAATAATTCCTCGCTTTATTTATGTAAAAAAATAATTTCTCAATTAAATAATTTTTAAATAAATTATGCATGTACATAAGTATTAAAATACAAAAATATTTTTGAGATATCTCGCATATATTGAACGACACTACATTTAGGTTTATTTTAGTTAAAGGATCCTCATTAGAAACTCTCTCTCTATTTTGCCCTTTTGTTTTATTTAATTAATTTATTGTAATTTTACTTATTTTTTTCATTTACTATTTTCGTTTTTCTACAACCAAAACATCTTTTTTTTTAAGTAAAAAATGTTATATAGATGTAATCAGACCTCTCATTTTCAAAATTTTCTAATAGCTTTATCTCTAAAATTGGATTAATATTTTAAATTTCTAAAAAAACTTGTCCATAATTGAGGTTGTGTGTAGAAACTGTTTTTTTATAATTATTTTTATTTTTTTAATGTGTGTAATTATTTATACTTATCCTCTAAAATAGAAAAATTACATATTTGATTTTTCAATCTTAGGAGGTAGCTCGAGCGGAATAAATTTGTAATTTTACCTATTGCCCCTCATTTAATATTTAATTCTAATTGCTTCAAAAAAGATATTTAATTCTAATTTTAACTATCTAATAAATGATTTGATAGTTTGAATTTTTAGTTACATTACATAATATTATTTAATTTGTTAAGTCTTAATTAACAGTAGAATTATTTAGCTTAAATTT